GTCGAGGAATCGATTGAGACCATTTACAAGCCAATCGGACGGTAACTTTAGGCTGTAGAGCGTTCCCCGTCCTTTGACCTTGACCTTGACCTTGAAGGTCATGACCTAGTGACCTGGAAATCGCTGTTAACCTGCAATGAGGAACGAGGAATCGAATGAGGGTCTTTTCATCAAAATCGGTTCACTGGTTCTTGAGTTATTGCGTTCCCCGTCCGAATATCGCATTGTTAGTTTGATATTCGCTAACCTTGACCTTGACCTTGAAGGTCATGACCTAGTGACCTGGAAATCGCTGTCAACCTGGAATCGGGGTCGAGGAATCGATTGAGATCATTTACAAGGCAATCGGACGGTAACTTTAGGCTGTAGAGCGTTCCCCGTCCTTTGACCTTGACCTTGACCTTGAAGGTCATGACCTAGTGACCTGAAAATCGCTGTCAACCTGGAATCGGGGTCGAGGAATCGATTGAGACCATTTACAAGCCAATCGGACGGTAACTTTAGGCTGTAGAGCGTTCCCCGTCCTTTGACCTTGACCTTGACCTTGAAGGTCATGACCTAGTGACCTGGAAATCGCTGTCAACCTGCAATGAGGAACGAGGAATCGAATGAGGGTCTTTTCATCAAAATCGGTTCACTGGTTCTTGAGTTATTGCGTTCCCCGTCCGAATATCGCATTGTTAGTTTGATATTCGCTAACCTTGACCTTGACCTTGAAGGTTATGACCTAGTGACCTGGAAATCGCTGTCACCCTGGAATCGGGGTCGAGGAATCGATTGAGATCATTTACAAGCCAATCGGACGGTAACTTTAGGCTGTAGAGCGTTCCCCGTCCTTTGACCTTGACCTTGACCTTGAAGGTCATGACCTAGTGACCTGAAAATCGCTGTTAATCTGGAATCGGGGTCGAGGAATCGATTGAGACCATTTACAAGCCAATCGGACGGTAACTTTAGGCTGTAGAGCGTTCCCCGTCCTTTGACCTTGACCTTGACCTTGAAGGTCATGACCTAGTGACCTGGAAATCGTTGTCAAGCTGGAATCGGGGTCGGGGAATCGATTGAGACCATTTACAAGCCAATCGGACGGTAACTTTAGGCTGTAGAGCGTTCCCCGTCCTTTGACCTTGACCTTGACCTTGAAGGTCATGACCTAGTGACCTGGAAATCGCTGTCACCCTGGAATCGGGGTCGAGGAATCGATTGAGACCATTTACAAGCCAATCGGACGGTAACTTTAGGCTGTAGAGCGTTCCCCGTCCTTTGACCTTGACCTTGAAGGTCATGACCTAGTGACCTGGAAATCGCTGTCACCCTGGAATCGGGGTCGAGGAATCGATTGAGACCATTTACAAGCCAATCGGACGGTAACTTTAGGCTGTAGAGCGTTCCCCGTCCTTTGACCTTGACCTTGACCTTGAAGGTCATGACCTAGTGACCTGGAAATCGCTGTCAACCTGGAATCAGGGTCGAGGAATCGATTGAGACCATTTACAAGCCAATCGGACGGTAACTTTACGCTGCAGAGCGTTCCCCGTCCTTTGACCTTGACCTTGACCTTGAAGGTCATGACCTAGTGACCTGGAAATCGCTGTCACCCTGGAATCGGGGTCGAGGAATCGATTGAGATCATTTACAAGCCAATCGGACGGTAACTTTAGGCTGTAGAGCGTTCCCCGTCCTTTGACCTTGACCTTGACCTTGAAGGTCATGACCTAGTGACCTGAAAATCGCTGTCAACTTGGAATCGGGGTCGAGGAATCGATTGAGACCATTTACAAGCCAATCGGACGGTAACTTTAGGCTGTAGAGCGTTCCCCGTCCTTTGACCTTGACCTTGACCTTGAAGGTCATGACCTAGTGACCTGGAAATCGCTGTCACCCTGGAATCGGGGTCGAGGAATCGATTGAGACCATTTACAAGCCAATCGGACGGTAACTTTAGGCTGTAGAGCGTTCCCCGTCCTTTGACCTTGACCTTGACCTTGAAGGTCATGACCTAGTGACCTGGAAATTGCTGTCACCCTGGAATCGGGGTCGAGGAATCGATTGAGACCATTTACAAGCCAATCGGACGGTAACTTTAGGCTGTAGAGCGTTCCCCGTCCTTTGACCTTGACCTTGACCTTGAAGGTCATGACCTAGTGACCTGGAAATCGCTGTCAACCTGGAATCGGGGTCGAGGAATCGATTGAGACCATTTACAAGCCAATCGGACGGTAACTTTACGCTGCAGAGCGTTCCCCGTCCTTTGACCTTGACCTTGACCTTGAAGGTCATGACCTAGTGACCTGGAAATCGCTGTCAAGCTGGAATCGGGGTCGGGGAATCGATTGAGACCATTTACAAGCCAATCGGACTGTAACTTTAGGCTGTAGAGCGTTCCCCGTCCTTTGACCTTGACCTTGACCTTGAAGGTCATGACCTAGTGACCTGGAAATCGCTGTCAAGCTGGAATCGGGGTCGAGGAATCGATTGAGACCATTTACAAGCCAATCGGACGGTAACTTTACGCTGCAGAGCGTTCCCCGTCCTTTGACCTTGACCTTGACCTTGAAGGTCATGACCTAGTGACCTGGAAATCGCTGTCAAGCTGGAATCGGGGTCGGGGAATCGATTGAGACCATTTACAAGCCAATCGGACGGTAACTTTAGGCTGTAGAGCGTTCCCCGTCCTTTGACCTTGACCTTGACCTTGAAGGTCATGACCTAGTGACCTGGAACTCGCTGTCAACCTGGAATCGGGGTCGAGGAATCGATTGAGACCCTTTACAAGCCAATCGGACGGTAACTTTAGGCTGTAGAGCGTTCCCCGTCCTTTGACCTTGACCTTGACCTTGAAGGTCATGACCTAGTGACCTGAAAATCGCTGTCAACCTGGAATCGGGGTCGAGGAATCGATTGAGACCATTTACAAGCCAATCGGACGGTAACTTTAGGCTGTAGAGCGTTCCCCGTCCTTTGACCTTGACCTTGACCTTGAAGGTCATGACCTAGTGACCTGGAAATCGCTGTCAAGCTGGAATCGGGGTCGAGGAATCGATTGAGACCATTTACAAGTCAATCGGACGGTAACTTTAGGCTGTAGAGCGTTCCCCGTCCTTTGACCTTGACCCTGACCTTGAAGGTCATGACCTAGTGACCTGGAAATCGCTGTCAACCTGCAATAAGGAACGAGGAATCGAATGAGGGCATTTTCATCAAAATCGGTTCACTGGTTCTTGAGTTATTGCGTTCCCCGTCCGAATATCGAATTTTTAGTTTGATATTCGCGAATATCAATCTGCTGCTCAATTGATGGACGTCTCATAAGGAGCGAAAAAGCGACAAAAAGCATGAATTTCCCTATGGCGGCGGGCTGCCGGGTTGCCAGACGGCGCACCGGCTATTTCCACTTTTGACACACCATGGCATCGCGCACATCTACGGTTTTGGCGCACATGTGACAATGCGCAGTTCACTTTTTCAAGTTTGATAAAAAAAAGCTTCTGTGCTTCTACGTGTGGCTTGTGTAGTTATTTTTTGGAGCTGGGTTGAGTTTAGGACCCGTTTGAACATAAGAAGTAGTTATGATGGTTATGTAACATATTTTAAAGCTATCAGTGGTGGTTGTCACTCTAGATGGCCGGCACTGGAAGCTTGCTGGTCGACCTGACCTGACCCGACCCGTTCTACCCCAAATGTATGCCCATCATCTTTGTTCAAAGTTAACATTGAAATTGTTTTCCGGACCCCGATAATAGCAGGCTATGGCTCACAAAGTTCAAGCAGGTCCCAATTTTCCCTACTTTTGGGCATTGACCCAAGATTGAGATGACCTGGCCAAGACCTTGAAATTGGGCAATGGGCATCATCTGCTTTCTCTCATCACGGGCAGCATCCCTGCTTTTCCGTGAAGCTCTACCTTGATCAGGGGCTGAAGGCATACCTGAGCATTACAATGGTAAATAAATGTTTTACCTAAGCAACCCGTAAAACAGGAATAAGAGCTACGGCGAGGCATTTTAATGCATTAGCCCCTCTGAATCCAAGTGCTGCAACTTTGAAACCAGATATTTTTTACTTTAGGCATTTCTCGATCTTGTGAGTGCTCAAACCGGTAAGAACAAGCCAGGGACCCCATTTTGGCTCTCTCAACTCAGTCACAGCCTATGATTCAGTGAATGTGTATGATATATATCATCACCATTGTGTTTGTTTCGTCGAAACACGTCGCAAGGCCTACAATTTGAACTTAAAAACTTAACTAGAAAACTTGACATCAGGTAAAGGTCATGTCTCACTGGAAAAGAACCTGCTGCATATGGATCAATCTGTGTTGCTGAGCTGAACACACTCCAGGTGCTGTCATCGCTCTACAGCATCTCTATCAAAAGTTGTCGAAAATGTGTTAGAAACCTATATACGGCCTTGTTAGAAACCTTTGATGACCTAATGACTTACCATTTGAGTCACCACTGGTCATTAGCTGCACCTTGTCCCTAAAATGAGCAGAGGTGCCTTGGCTACAAAAATATGTACCTAGTGTTTTTAGCATATTTGTTAAAAGCAGAGGGCATTCATGCTTTTTCCCCATATCTTACTTATCATGATGGTTGGTGAGGTGAGAGGTCACATATTTGGCCTGACTTCACTTCTCAGATATAAAATCCCAGATTCATGAACTGTTGGTACTTGGTACCATTCATTACCTACACCAAATTTCAGACTATTTGAGATTATCTATAGGAATGACAAGATTGCAGTTTTTAGAGGCATTAAAACAAACTTGACATGACACTGTGACCTGACCTCAGGTGACCTGTGCCTGAATTTTATGCACGATGCAAAAGTGATGTACAGATATACCGCTGCTTTCGTGGCACTGCACGCCAATGTTTTTCTCAACACATGAAAAAACGGGAGTTGGCTAAAAACACCCCTACCCATCAAGATGAAGACTGGAAAATGGAAAACCCAATAAAAAAATCCGTGGCGACGCCCCTGTGATGTCAGTAGGTATACAACGCCAGAGCAGCAAGCATTGGGGAGTGGGACTGTCTTTGCTGTGGAATAATGTGCGGACAGTTAATGTGTTATGGAGGACAATTCTCGGGTGGTTAAGATACAGGTAAGATCTAGACAGTTAATCAAACATTTCCTTTTGTATTCCAAGTAACTGTTCACCAAAGGGGTAATAGTAAAAGCAGCCGAGGTGTCACCTGTTTTTTTCCAACCAAGGAGAGGCGGGAACTCGATGGTTCGATTTTCGCCTGAATGCCTGATTGGGCCTGATCTAGCTTGAGGCAGCTTCACCCTATTCTGGGCGGGGGGAGGGGCCTTTAACCCGGCAGGCGGTGGGCCTCCCGGCCACCTTCCGCGCGGTGGGGGGGGGGGGACATTTTTTCCTCCCCCCCCGTATCTCCGAATCTACTGGACAGATCCGGAAAATTCAAACGGCGTTCGATAGCTCTGTCAAATTTGTCGAAAGAAACCAAATTTCAGTGACCTCGGGTCTCCGATGACATCACAGGTCAGGTCAAAGATAAAATGTTTCACCGTTCACGGGGCTTCTACGGAAAGCGCTATAACACCGAGTAAAACGCATTTTGTCGAAAATCAGCGATAGGGCGTCAGTTGTCTAGTACATATGTTGCTATTAGAGGTCACTGGTCATACCAGGTCAGGTCACAGGTCAGGTCACCATGGGTCACCACATGAACCCAACTTTACTAAGGTTGTGCGATGCATGTTTTATGGCCAATTTTTTTCATTTACAACTCAATGGTGTTGGTTTTAAGACCATCAAGTACGGTTGAGGACACTTTTTGGTGGAGGTCAGGTCAAGGTCAGGTAAAAAAAGGTCAAATTTCAAAGTTGATATTTTTGCATAAAATGGGTATCGATTCGATGCAGCTCGTCACGGGGAGTCTAATGGTGGTCTTTGTTTTGCTCTACAAGGTCTAGAATTGCTAAAATTGAGTTTGAAAATTTGACGTCATCAATTTTGAAGTTTTTTTCGCTATACTATAACTTGGCCAAAAAAAGAGGTATCGATCTCAAATTTGGTATGTAGATAGAAGGTGGTAGGGACTATCACATATCTTCCGGTTTATTCGAAATTCAAAAAACTTTTTGGATTTTTTGGCTTTTATATTTTAAAAAATCTATTTTTATTTTTGGGGGATCAAAATCCAAAAATTTCAAAAATCCGAGATTGCAGTTTTGTAGCTCTCTAAATTTTACACCTTTTATGTATTAAACATTTTTCTGTATCTCTAAAGCTGTAGACCTGACAGCTCTTCTCGCGAAACCTTTTTTTGGGTCGAAAATGGCAGAAATGACGTCACTCTGACGTCATTAGCGTCCAACCTATCATAGCCTTTGGAAAAATGTTTGGTCATGTGCAATAGCTATTCACGGGAGGGTACTGAAAGTATGGTGGCGATCGACGCAGCGGTTCTCGAGATATATAAAAAAAAACTAAAGGGGGGGGGGCAAAAAATGCCCCCCCCCCATCGCTTGGTCCCACTTCAGGTTTTTCTTGTGCCATTGCCAAACGCCGCAAGACTGAAAGCTCATACTCGGTGACTTTTCCTAAACATTCATTGCGCACATTTTGACAGAAAAAAGTTGCCGGGTCAGGTCAGGACTCAGACTTGTGATCAGCTCAGTTGAGCCGGCTCAAAAATCAGCTCAGCTCATGAGCCGGCTCAACAATTTGCCAAATTGTTGAGCTGTGAGCTGAGCCGGCTCAGTAATGCATTGAGCTGAGCTGCTGTCTGAGCTGAGCTGAATGAGCTTGAGCTGAGCTGATCTGAGCTGAGCTGAATGAGCTTGAGCTGAGCTGATCTGAGCTGAGCTGAGCTGAGCTGAGCTGAGCGAGCTGAGCTGAGCTGAGCTGAGCGAGCTGAGCTGAGCTGATTGAGCTGAGCTGAGTTGATCCAGTTCTAATTCTTTTCAGTTCATGCTTGGAAATTAACTCAGGCTTTGATGCTTCAGCTATGAGCTAGCTATGGAGTGAGCAATTACACTGCCTTCGTGATCGCACTTAAAAATATCAAAACTCTAAAGAAATCAATAGTAATCACTAATCAAGCTTAATTTATTTCATCCATATTGCATGGAAATTGGAAGACCAGGGTCTTGGCCAATTTACAGGCTAACACAGCCAGTCTCAAGTTTCAAGTCTGACTGCAAGATGAATACCTACTGTCAGGCTTTGATGCTTCGCCTTGACACTCTGCTCCGCAATGTGCAATTCAGCATTCTTCACTTTGTTATTTAAAGGGACCCTCCCACCTTCAAAAAAGTTAATGAATTGGCACGAAAGTGATGTCGCTCGGTTCAGAAAGAGCGAAAACGAATATCTACCAAATTTCATCGAAAAATATTCACCGGTTTTCAAGATATTAGACTTTTACTTTTGTTTACTTTTTGGGATCTCCGCTGTTCCTAGCGACTTTATTTGAAAGTGCGGCATTTGTTGCGCGCAAAGCAGCATATACCACCGCGTGCTACCAAACGTTTTAGTAAAAGATTTAAAAATCGTTAGATCTCCGCTGACGTCACAAATTCTAAGGGGGCATACCAATGCACTAGCCCCTTAGAATCCGAAAACTGCAAGTTTGAAATTCCATATCTCCGAATTAAAGCATTTGTCGATGTTGTGAGTGCCCAAACCGGTATTTGCAGGCCATGGCCACCAATTTGGCTATCTCAACTCAAAACTAATGTTAAGGTGGGAGTGTCCCTTTAAGCAGTTATTTAACCCTCGCATGTGTAGGGGGGGTCGGATGGACCCCCCCATGGTTTTTCGCGAATAACTCGCGTAAAAAGCGGCCGATCGCGACGAAACTTTCAGTACCCTCGCATTGATCAATTGTACACCTACCCTGAAAATTTCATGACCCTGACCCAAATGACCTTTGACCTGTGACCTCTTTTCCGAGACCATGTTTGGCCTGACCTGACCGTCAGGTCAGGTCACCAGAGGCGGTTTGGTGACCCCACCTCACAAAAGTTTGCAATCACGCCAGAGCTAGAGTTTTTGACGGATCAATTTCTTCTCTTCAGGTTTTAGTTAGGGTACCAGTATGTGCAATTTGTATATCTCAGAATTTTTATATCTGTGACCTGAGGTCAGGCCAGACTCGTGACCTTTACATTGCAAGCCTATGGGAAAATATTGAAACGCCTCCTGCTTCGTGTAAACGAGTCAAAACTACTCAATTCTTTCAGTATTATGGAAGATTATCTCATCGGTGATGATCCTGGTGCCGCTAATTGATAGGGGCACCGGGAAAGGTCATCTGAGGTCATGTGACGTCATAAATCGTTTTTCTGTCAATAAATCACGACACGATGGTGCTAAAGACTTGTAAGTGGTACCAAACTGCTCGCCTGGTCAAGGTGCGTCGTTTGGTATGCAGCATGACCATACCCCACAACCTCATTGATGAATGACCTGACCTTGACCTCGGGTCAAATTTCAAATTGACCTGTGAAGGTCATCGCATACTTGTTTCGCATCGCCTCGACGAGAGCAACAAAAAATGTGTCAATTTTATGTCTATGTTTCTTAGTTTAAAAGTTATATAGGTAACTAATTCCAAAACATTTTATCGTTGATGACCTCTGGTGACCTCAATATTGACCTGACCTGAAAATGTTTTATGTAAAAGTTGTAGATCTTTAAACGACCTATCATACACCGTTTGTCATTTGTCGCTGCGATGTGTAGTTTTTGAGATCTGAAGGGGGGGGGGACCGAAAAGGCCCCCGCCCAGAATCGAAGCTTTCAGAGCCCGCCCGGAATAGGGTTAACCCGCGCCCTGCTGGGGGTCCTGGATTTCCACGCCCTGCTGGGGGGGGGGGGGGTGTTTGAACACCCCCCCTTGTAACTCGGCTCCTGGGCCACGTAGCGATACGCAGAAGGCGGCGTTCGAAAGAGCGTAAAAAATAATGACGAAATCACTTCGGTCAATTTTTTGGTCCGGTCAAAGGTCAGGTCACCAGAGGTCATTGAAGGCAAAATTTCGCCGATTTCCAGGTCGAATGTCGAAAATTTCCAAGAAGCCAACGCATAACTCGAGAACCAATAGAGCTACAGCGCCGCGGAAAAGCGCATTCGATAGCCCTATTAACGCCCTTTCTGAGTAATTCTCTCAGATTTGACCTAACGTCAACGGTTTTGCCTGCAGGGGGCAAAAACTGCAAAAATAGCCGATTTTTTCGAAAACAGTTTTTCTGCAATAACTTTTGACCCAAGCCTTGTACGAGCTTACTTTTACCGGCATCGTGTTCCTCTCGTCAAGACGCATCGAATGAACTATAACTTGATCTTGAAAGGTCAACTTGAAAATTTGACCTCAGGTCAAGGTCATGACCTGACCGGAAAGGGTCATGTTGCATATCAGTCGATCCGTATCGTCGAGCTGAACACATCTAAGGCGTTTTCATCGCTCTAGCATGCCTCTATCAAAAGTTATTTGCGAAAAACTGTTAGATACCATTCGTGACCTAAGATGACCTCAGGGCATAAACAAGGGTCACGGACACCATTTTCAAGTTCAGTGTGTCTAAAACACTTGTAATTCGGTGTTTGGGAGTGTTTATAATGTCTTTCATCCAAAAGAGGCGCATTTCAATTTTCTCCCATTGACTTATAATGGGGAGGTCACAAAATTGACCTGACCTTAGGTCATCGATATCAAAATTCTGAGATATACATTTTGTACATGCTATTGCTCTTAGCAATCGCTGTAAGTTTCAAAGCGATCGGTCACTCGGTGTAGCTATGACAGACATTGAAAGTTTTTATGAGGTGAGGTCACTTCAAGTGACCTGGTGACCTGACCTTGAATGACCTTGGTCTGAAATTTTCACAACATGTGTAGAATTGATGTATGGTAAGGTGTACCAAAAACGGCGGCGCTCCGCGCCGCCGTTTTTGAGATATTCGCGAAAAACCACAAGGGGGGGTGTTCAAACACCCCCCCCCCAGCAGGGCGCGGGTTAATAGCCTGACTCTGGCTCAGCTGGTCACTTGTGTTCACATTTCTTTTTCAGATTCCTTCCTCCAGTGAAGCAATTATTGAGGCCAGTCTCTGACCATGCCCATAGACAGCAAGAGAAACCCACGTCCTGATAACTCAGTGTCATATGATCAGTTTGTTGATCCAGAAGATAATACAGCACGAGTGTACGGGGCTGGGCGTTCACATGGAAGGGGAAAAGATGAGCTTCGACCACTTTGTAAGTTATTTGATTTTGGAACAGTAAGTGTTAGCAATGCTTGTTTTGTATGTAGCAGATTAGGCATAAAATATCAGCACGGTTTGGTGTAGAATAAATGTGAGTACTTTGTAGATAAGGGCAAGATAGCAGTTTGTTAGCGCAGTCTATTGTGAGTCTACAGGGTGGCCCAGAATTACCCGAACATTTACTTTCTGGCTAAAAGTACGATTGCGCTCGATTTTGATGACATACAAGTACAGGGTGTCCAGAAAAAAAAAGATACTACGAAAATTAAGTCGCATTCATTAACGCACGTGCCGATTTTGTTCCAACTTCGTGTGCTCATAGTGCAAGATTTGGCAAAACTCATGAGCACTGTAATGCGTCGTTGGAAAGTTGTCTGTCTGCCCTCCGAGATGGTCAACATGACCATCAGTCACCTGCAGACTGCTAGTGCTGGAGCTGATCCGCCGGAAGGCCGCTCACATTGAGTACCTATCTACTTTGAGGAGCTGCCGCGACTAACCAAAGAGTTAATATGCCATGTGGCGCCTGCTGTCTGTTTTGCCATATTTTTGCGAATACAAGCATGTGCCATTTTAAAATGTAAGGTGTTTATTTTCGGAATTACAGCAAAAAATAATAGTATCCGTTTTTTCTGGACACCCTGTATCATAATTTTTCAAGACATCCCTTAGCTATCGAGCTTGGAGACTGTGTGCTTTTGGTGGCCGGTCATGACTCGAGTCAACAATTTTCCACAGTCAGGTAAGAGTAGCCCTGTAGCAAGAACGGTCGCGTTACTTTACATTGAATCGTATTTCGACGTAATTCGCGGAATAAATCAACTTAAAGTTCACTCAGCCATGTATGTAGTGAATCATCGTATTATCACAGCAATCTCCCCCAATCGCCAGTTCATTTCTCATTCACAGCCATCCATTGACCTAAATACATTTCCCATACAAATCCCGCGCAGTATCCCAGCGGGCTCCTTCACCGGACAGTAACGGACGTAAACTGTAACAGCCCCTTTCCGTTTTTAGCTTTAGTCACCAATAAGCAATCATGGTGGATCGTGTAGACAGACTTTCGGCATGGTTCTTGCTGGAGAGCTTCAGAAGCTCATCTGCAAGCAGGTAGGAGTGAGCAAAGCGCAGCTATACCTGCAAGCAGGTATCAGCGAGCGAAGCCAGAGAGAGCAAGAGGTAACCTGATCAACAAGCCCGGACGCGGCCAAAAAGGACCATGCACCAGTTGTCAATCGGTTGTTTGCCATATCATGGACTACAAACGCCACCCGGCCCACCCATCTATCCAAAAACAAGCTGAACGACAGATAAGGGTTAGCTGCAAACACCAGTCTACTTTGAACCACTATCTTTGACAAAATTTTGAAATTCGGGGTCCCTCGCTTGAAAAAAATATGCCAAAACTACCGGAAAAGCAGCGCAAATCGCTACAATTCAGCCAAAAACATAACATATGCAACAACAAAGTAAATTGAAATACACCTTATGGTCTAACGAAGGTATTTTGTCTTTCGAATCGCCCCAAAAAGGCGTGTATGGACGTCAGATGGCGACAACGTCCCTACAGCGGAGACGGCCAGGCACCCGTCGAAAAGCAAAGTGTGAGACAATTTGAGCCAGGGTGCACTCATTCAGCTTCATATGATGCCCCAAACAAGACCGTTAACACAAAGTACTACTGCGGTAATATTGTACATAGTTTTACAAACATTGAATGCCGTGAACCAACTGGCCATGAATGGGTTTATTTTGAAAACTAAATCTGTTGGAAGCCAAAGGTCGCGCCATGTTCAGGCATGGAACTTATCCACTTCGGATGTCAAAAACAACGCAACAGTGGTGTAGGCATAAATTCTTGTTTTGGGGGAGAATGCCTCATGGCCTGGGAACACTTTGATGTAAATTTAATCTAAAATGATCGTATTATCCCCCGGCAAGAGGTCAAAGAAAACAAGCCTACAACCAGTTTCGGGATACCAGTAACAACTGAAACCGAAATCGGCTGGCATTTTTCCACCATTGTTGGCTAATCCTGTAACTAGCGTGTCTACTGCATTTTCCATTTCATAGCTAGCCTAGTTGACTATATCGGACGACAGAAAGAAAAAAGTGTTATTATGTTTGCCTTATGTTATACGCCAATTAACAATATTCGGGTAATTTTCGGACACCCTGTACCTACTCATGCAAAGAAATTGGATCTAGCTTAAAAACTGAGCTCTTGGGAGCGATTGCCGTGGTTAAATGTTTTGCGTCAGCCGAACGTCACTCTGTCATTTCCGACCGACCTATGGTAGCTACGAAGTTCATATTTTGACACAAGTTGTCAAATTGATGCAGCCGAAGGTACTGAAAGTTTGGCGTTGATACGTCAAGCGGTTTGGAAGTTATTGCAGAAAAAAGGGGAGGTTTTTTTGCGAGGCTCTAGCTCAATAATAGTCGAAAGGGCATTTGGTTCCACCAAACGTTTGGTTCCCAGAAAACAGATAGGTTCGCTGAGGGTTTCTTATGGGAGGGGGATCGGGTACTCCCCCAATGACCTTTGACCTGAGACCTGTTTGGCAAGACTATGCCAGTTTGAGATGGCGCTCAGGCGCATGTCAGCGCTTTTATCCGCACGTTTCCAGACTTCGTGATTATAAACGCTCAATCATGTCAAAGATGTTTATTATGTTATGTTTGTTTTGTTATGTTATGTTATGTTTGATATGTAATAAAGATGCCTTTGGGTGGTGTCAAGGGTCCCGTGAAGGTCAGTTCAAGGTCGGCATGGTGGCTCAAGTGAAGTTGTCGCCGAGCGAGGGTGACACCGGCGTAATGGGAGTTAGAATGTATATTTTATCATTTATGAAACCTTTGTAAGAGTGCTTGTGATGATTTTACAGGATGATATGTTTTGCGATTTCTGAGCATTTTACACTGATGTTAAAATTGCTATAAGATCATGTGGCGATTTTAGCCTTTTTAACCTTGGATAGGCCTTCAGAGCTCTTCATATGTCTCTTCCAGAGGTCCATTTGACCGTCCGGGGGGGGGGGGGGGGGGACTGCCACGCTTTCCCCACAAAGTGAAGACACTGGCGCAATAGGAGTTTGTACTGAGCTCGCTCTGAGACGATGTCCTCTTCTGTGTGGACCAGATGTGCGGCTGGGCACGACGCTGCACGCGCAGGGCTCGTGCTACCTGGAGCTGGGCGCCACCAAGGTGTCGGCGGCCGTGTACGGGCCTCGCGAGGTGGCGCGCCGCTCCGAGTTCAGCACCAGCGGACAGCTCAGCTGCGAGCTGCGCTTCGCGCCGTTCGCGGGTCGGCGCCGGCGCGGTCACCTGCCCGACGACCAGCAGCGCGAGCTGAGTCAGACGCTGCGCACCGCTGTCGAGCCGGCCGTCTGTCTGGTGAGCGCTCCGTCTGTCTGGTGGTGTCTGGTGTCCGGCTCGGGCGCTGTCTGGTGGCGCTCCGGCCGGCCGTCTGTCTGGTGAGCGCTCCGTCTGTCTGGTGGTGTCTGGTGTCCGGCTCGGCCGTCTGTCTGGTGAGCGCTCCGTCTGTCTGGTGGTGTCTGGTGTCCGGCTCGGCCGTCTGTCTGGTGAGCGCTCCGTCTGTCTGGTGGTGTCTGGTGTCCGGCTCGGCCGTCTGTCTGGTGAGCGCTCCGTCTGTCTGGTGGTGTCTGGTGTCCGGCTCGGCCGTCTGTCTGGTGAGCGCTCCGTCTGTCTGGTGGTGTCTGGTGTCCGGCTCGGCCGTCTGTCTGGTGAGCGCTCCGTCTGTCTGGTGGTGTCTGGTGTCCGAGCCGGCCGTCTGTCTGGTGAGCGCTCCGTCTGTCTGGTGGTGTCTGGTGTCCGGCTCGGGCGCTGTCTGGTGGCGCTCCGGTCGACCGGTGCTGACCGCCAGAGCCGCGCCGCGGCGCGCTGCACTGCCGCAGCCCAACTCACAGGACGGCTGCGGGGTCGATGCATTTTCGGTGACTCCGATTCCGAGTCCGGCTTTAAAAAATCAACTACTCCGACTCCGGTCAGAACTATCAACTCCGACAGACTCCGATCAGAACTGTTAGTTCTGACCGACTCAGACTCCACAGCCCTGGTTTACAATGGTGTTAGATCCGATAGATCCTTTTTGTTAGATCCGTTTCGCTCAGATCGGCCGTTGAACCCACCTACTTATAACAAATTCTCTGAATGAGTCGATTCGATTAGATAATTGCGAGTGCAGTGATTTTTCAATGCGTGGATAGGAAGTGTTTGTCCCGTATTACCATATCATGTCTATATCATGTTTTCCCATGGTCTTTCCATTTCGACTTTGTGACATCTTTGTTACCGTGATGATCGAGCACTGTTTTACGACAGTTGAGTTGTCGCCAGACACGTGTCTATGAATGGGCTGGCCGCGCCCTGACGCCGCCTCCCCTCCCGCCTCACGCCCCGCAGCACGAGTTTCCCAAGTCGAGCGTGGACGTGTTCGTGCACGTGCTGCAGGACGACGGCGGCGCGCTGGCGGCGGCCATCACCGCCGCCGGCGCCGCGCTGGCCGACGCCAACGTGCCCATGTACGACCTGGTGACGGCCGCCGCCCTGGTGAGTGCGTGGTCCGCCCTGGTGGGTTGGTGGTCCGCCCTGGTGGGTTGGTGGTCCGGTCTGGTGGGTGGGTGAGTGGTCCCACTGGTGAGTGAGCGGTCCGCCCTGGTGGGTTGGTGGTCCCCCTGGTGGGTGGGCGGTCCGCTTCTCTTAGGGTAGCGTTGACGGTAGCTTAAGAACGGGACCGAGCTTACGTTGCCCTTCTTCCTTGCCATTGTTAACCCGCGCACCGACGGGGGTCTGCGCCAACTTAGTACCGACGGGGGGGGGGGGGGGGGCGGATGACCGCCCCCCCCTGAGATCTCGAGAACGAAGCAAGATAGCGACAAGCGGTAAACGGCATCGGATACGCACGGTCAAGATCTACAATTTTTACTAAGGTCATTTTCAGGTCAGGTCAAAGATGACTTCACAGGGGTCGAAAAAGTCAAAATGGCGGCGCTAAATATGGAGAGAGTTTTTCTCGAATAACTTTCGAATTAGTCAAGATAGGAACAGACTAAGGGCATCATCGTGATCCTCTCGTCAATCCGCATCGAATGATATATATGTTGACCTCGAAAGGTCAAGGTCAAAGGTTGACCTCAGGTCACGTGACCTCGAGGTCATCATGTATATCATTCGATGCGTCTTGACGAGCTGAACACAATGAGACCATCCACGCGTCTGTATCTTGTTCCTGTACGGAGTTATTGGCCAAAAACCTTTGGTGACCTTTGATGACGTCACATGACCTCACAGCTGCCCAACAGCAAAACAGACCTCAAGGTAATGAAGGTTGATCGTATATGAAGTCATGTATGGTATATGGGGCCATTCCGACCCGTTTTAGTGGTAAAAACAGGGAGTTGATTTTTCCCCCATTGACTTATAATGGGGAGGTCGCGAAATTGACCTGACCTTAGGTCACCGATATCAAAATTCCGAGATATACAAATTGTAGCTACTAATGACCTAATAACATCCTGCGACTTTCAAAGGCCTCCGACATCTACTGTAGCTCTGGCACGGTGACAAAGTTGCAAAAAAGTGACTTGAGGTTGGGTCATTCAAAGTGACCTGGTGACCTGACCTTGAAAGGTAGGAGGTTTAAACTTGCACACCATGTGTAAAATTGATAGGGGAATAGTCATACCAAATTTCGCGGCGCTACGCGCCGCGGTTTTCCCGCTATTCGCGAAAAACCTCAGGGGGGGCGGATATCCGCCCCCCCCCGTCGGTGCGCGGGTTAAAGAGACTACAGGGTGGGGCAGCATAATCGGGAATAAATATCAAACGGGATTATTTGGTCATGAATCTAAAAATATAGCTCCAAGCACTATTTTAGCAACATCCTATCAATCGGTCACCTTTTACCTATCCCTCATCCTATTTGACCGCCCTCGGCGTCGATGACCTTCTCAAGGCGGGTCCAAAAGCACGCGCATGCACGTGCAACCTCCTGCTTGTCCATGATCGCCCATCAGCTTTGTACCTTGCACTGAATACTGTTTTTACTGATGATAAGTTGTTCATTAAACTTCTACCAAAAAACGCTCCATGTAAATAATTTGGTCGGATTTAAATCGGCGGAGTTGAAGGACCAGAAGTTTTTGGTTCATCTCAGGTGGAGGTGCCCTACACAATAACATGTCGTCCTCACTGCAGTACCAGCACGGACAGAGTCCTCGTAAGACGTGATTTGGACCGTCAGTGATCCTCTCTTCCGACGGCTCCACGTGGGTCTGCCAGAGTGCGGTTGTATTTACCAGAGGTGCTCATTTTATCCGGGCTCGATGAAGTAGGGTGCACCACGTGCACCTCCCTTGAAGACCACCCATAGGTCCATCACCCCAACAGGATGTTTACTTTGCATGACCGCTGGAATATTCTCGATACAATCCCCTATATGGCATGCCATTCTTTTTTATCGTATTCCAGTCGGTGATAAGATTTTTTGTCGCTGAAGTTTTGAACATTGTTTCTTTTTAATATGCTCAAGTGCTTCTTCCTTATATTCAAGTGAGTCATCTTGTATGTCCTCTGCTAAGAGTTATTTTACGACGATTACGTTAACCTGTTGTCCTAAGTATCCCCACACAATCCTTATCGTCCGTGATAACACGTTGACCTGCCCAGCAACCTTTACGTGGAATTGCAGGGTTTTAAACAAAATGTTCTTGTTTTACTTGTTTAACATTAGTGTCTATGGGCGCGCGCAAAGCACTTGGAGCACCGTCGAACTATTTTGCTGCTCTTTTCCAGGAAGTTGCATGCTCATGGATGTAGTCATGTCAGATGATGCACAACTTTTGGGCGTTTCATTGCCATAATATAATTTATAAAAATAATGCCATGCCTACTCATGATCAGAGCCCAAAAAGCATTCCCGATTATGCTGCCCCACCCTGTAGACTAAATTAATGCAAACACCGGAAGTTATTCCATTTCATCAGTTTAAGCCTAAAATGTTACCGGGAAGGGGAGGAAAACACAAAGTTTATTACGGTAACAATAACACTATAATACTTATGGTATTAACGCTCTCGGTTTGTATTATTTGTAACGCTTTTTTATGTGTAAATTTGTGATACGTACAAAAGGCACCAGTGCTGTGCTGTTTGTCAATACTGGCTGCGCTCGGTCGGCGGATGGGCGGTCCGAGCTCGCCGACCGGACGGCCCGAGCTCAGCCCGAGCTCAGTGACACCGGACGGTGTTCACTGACCGACAGCCCGAGCTCAGCTCGAGCTCGCTGACCGACGGCCCGAGCTCAGCCCGAGCTCAGCCCCAGCTCAGCCCGAGCTCACTGACCGACGGCCCGAGCTCACGGACCGGACAGCCTGAGCTCAGCCCGAGCTCGCTGACCAGACGGTCCGAGCTCAGCCCGAGCTCACTGACCGACGGCCCGAGCTCAGCCCGAGCTCAGTGACACCGGACGGTGTTCACTGACCGACGGCCCGAGCTCAGCCCGAGCTCAGCCCGAGCTCAGCCCGAGCTCAGCCCGAGCTCAGCCCGAGCTCACGGACCGGACGATGTTCACTGACCGACGGCCCGAGCTCAGCCCGAGCTCACTGACCGGACAGCCCGAGCCCAGCCCGAGCTCGCTGACCAGACGGCCCGAGCTCAGCCCGAGCTCACGGACCGGTTGTGTCCCCAGCGGCACAGCGGCGGCGCCGACCTGATGGACCCGGATGGCGGTGACCCGGCGCCGCCGGCCGACCCGGAGCCGGATGGCGGCCAGTTCAGCCACGTCACCGTCGGCTACCTGACCCAGCTGCAGCAGGTGGGCGTCGGTCAGCGGGTGTCAGGTGTCTGGTCAGAGGGTGTCAGGTGTCTGGTCATCGGGTGTCAGGTGTCTGGTCAGCGGGTGTCAGGTGTCTGTCCAGCAGATGTTTGGGTGTCTGTCCAGCAGATGTCAGGTGTCTGGTCAGCGGGTGTCAGGTGTCTGGTCAGCGGGTGTCAGGTGTCTGGTCAGCGGGTGTCAGGTGTCTGGTCAGCGGGTGTCAGGTGTCTGTTCAGCGGGTGTCAGGTGTCTGGTCAGCGGGTGTCAGGTGTCTGTCCAGCAGGTGTCAGGTGTCTGGTCAGCGGGTGTCAGGTGTCTGGTCAGCGGGTGTCAGGTGTCTGTCCAGCAGATGTTTGGGTGTCTGTCCAGCAGATGTTGGTTGCAGACTGGTTAGTGGTTATTGATTCGCCTTTTTTGGATCGATTCAGTCATTAACCCTCGCCCGTAAACGGCGATCTGCCACCTTCGCCCATGCAGGGGGGGGGGTTGGTGCGACCCCCCCTTGGCGTTTGAAAACGGAGCGTCGTAGAGCTTAGCGGAAAAGACCAACGGATTGCTCTCGCCGAGATCTCGCGATTGGTGGTATATTTTTTGGTCCTAGGTCAACATTTGACCTACTTTTGACCGGTCAAAGGTCAAATTTTCGGAAAAATAGACTTTTTTCAAATTTCCGCGGCGATTGCGGCAAAACGGTGGGTGATATCGACTTGAAACCTTCACTATCGTGTTCCTTGATCAATTCTCTATCGTTTGGTATGTATTTCGTTTCCCTAGCTCTAAAAATGGCGCGTTGGGAGCGCCGGAAGTCGGCAAGGTCACAGTCGGCGGCAGAAATTCGAAAAATCAAACTTTAAATTTTTGAAATCTGATTGTATTTTTGGATTTGGAAGGTCCATTTGCTCCCTATAGAAGCTAATATTGCTGCATATTCCCATTGAGGTGACAAGAATTAGCAAAATAGTGGTTCGGGCGCTTTTCAAAAATAGTACCGGACGCTGTTCCTCTTGTGACGTCATAGCTCCGTGACCTGACCTGACCCGGTCAAGTTTCTTATACCATATGATAGCCAATACTTGCCCCAACATGCATGGGAAGTTTCATCACGATCCATCAACCGATGTCCGTACCACCGGCAGGAAACCTCGGGCGTTGGCACTCAGTTTGTGAAAATCCGGCCGGAGGCTGTTCCCTTTGTGACGTCATAACTCCGTGACCTGACATGACCCGGTCAAATTTTTTTTATCAAAAGATGCGCAAGATTTGCCCCATAAGGTACCCAAAATTTGGCGGCGCTGCGCGCCGCCGTTTTTGCACTATTTCCGAAAAACCTCAGGGGGGGGTTGCACCAACCCCCCCCCTACATGGGCGAGGGTTAATTCATCTGATTTTTTTTGCGATTCAATCACCGTTCGATTCCAAAAAAAGGCGAATCGGTTCCTTTTGATTCAGAGAATCAAAAAAGAAAAGAAAAAAGGAACGACTTACGTTTGATTCAGCCATATACCTCTGTATGCCTAGGTAAACAGATGTCTAGATTCATCCAAAAAGTTATTGAACGATTCTTTTTGTAGATGTATGGTAAGCAGGTGTTTGGGTGTCTCTTCAGCAGGTGTTATAGGTATGTTTAGGTGTTTGGGTGTCGATCAGCTAGTGTCAGGTGTCTGTACATTTGTTGGGTGCCTGTGCCGAGTCCAGTTACGGCAAATGTCGACCTCTCGTCCGCCCCGGCTGGCTCGTTATCGCCGCCGCAGTTTCGTTGGTTATTAAGGCTAGGAGGCTCTTTTATTCTAGGCCATCATATTTTACCCTTTAAAATATAGCTGACAGCTTACGGTTGGTCGTAATTTGGGAAATGAGTATTATACAATCAACTACTTGCAATTGCCATTGGCAAGGGCAATTTGCTGGCGTTGTTAGCGACTTTGTGTAGCTGAACATAATTGCCACTTGTTAATTTTTAACCTAGCTTTAATCAAGCGGTTGTGCTGCCAGCTACCACTAAATGGGCAATCGACCGCGACTCGGTGGGCTGACCCCATCCCCCCGCACACTGTACCCGCCAGGTGAGCTGTCTGACCCTCCCACTGTCCTCGCCAGGTGAGCTGCCTGACCCTCCTACTGTCCCCGGTAGGTGAGCTGTCTGACCCTCCCACTGTCCCCGCCAGGTGAGCTGTCTGACCCTCCCACTGTCCCCGCCAGGTGAGCTGTCTGACCCTCCTACTGTCCCCGGTAGGTGAGCTGTCTGACCCTCCTACTGTCCCCGCCAGGTGAGCTGTCTGACCCTCCCACTGTCCCCGGTAGGTGAGCTGCCTGACCCTCCCACTGTCCCCGGCAGGTGAGCCGTCTGACCCTCCCACTGGCCCCGGTAGGTGAGCTGCCTGACCCTCCAACTGTCCCCGCCAGGTGAGCTGTCTGACCCTCCTACTGTCCCCGCCAGGTGAGCTGCCTGACCCTCCTACTGTCCCCGGTACGTGAGCTGTCTGACCCCCCACTGTCCCCGGTAGGTGAGCTGTCTGACCCTCCTACTGTCCCCGGTAGGTGAGCTGCCTGACCCCCCACTGTCCCCGCCAGGTGAGCTGTCTGACCCTCCTACTGTCCCAGCCAGGTGAGCTGCCTGACCCTCCCACTGTCCCCGGTAGATGAGCTGTCTGACCCTCCCACTGTCCCCGGTAGGTGAGCTGCCTGACCCTCCTACTGTCCCAGCCAGGTGAGCTGCCTGACCCTCCCACTGTCCCCGGTAGATGAGCTGTCTGACCCTCCCACTGTCCCCGGTAGATGAGCTGTCTGACCCTCCCACTGTCCCCGGTAGGTGAGCTGCCTGACCCTCCTACTGTCCCCGCCAGGTGAGCTGTCTGACCCTCCCACTGTCCCCGGTAGATGAGCTGTCTGACCCTCCAACTGTCCCCGCCAGGTGAGCTGTCTGACCCCCCACTGTCCCCGGTAGGTGAGCTGTCTGACCCCCCACTGTCCCCGGTAGGTGAGCTGTCTGACCCCCCACTGTCCCCGGTAGGTGAGCTGTCTGACCCCCCACTGTCCCCGGTAGGTGAGCTGTCTGACCCTCCCACTGTCCCCGCCAGGTGAGCTGTCTGACCCTCCTACTGTCCCCGCCAGGTGAGCTGCCTGACCCTCCACTGTCCCCGCCAGGTGAGCTGCCTGACCCTCCTATTGTCCCCGGTAGGTGAGCTGCCTGACCCTCCCACTGTCCCCGCCAGGTGAGCTGTCTGACCCTCCTACTGTCCCCGCCAGGTGAGCTGCCTGACCCTCCACTGTCCCCGCCAGGTGAGCTGCCTGACCCTCCACTGTCCCCGGTAGGTGAGCTGTCCGACCCCCCACTGTCCCCGCCAGGTGAGCTGTCTGACCCTCCTACTGTCCCCGCCAGGTGAGCTGCCTGACCCTCCAACTGTCCCCGCCAGGTGAGCTGTCTGACCCTCCTACTGTCCCCGGTAGGTGAGCTGTCTGACCCTCCCACTGTCCCCGCCAGGTGAGCTGTCTGACCCTCCTACTGTCCCCGCCAGGTGAGCTGCCTGACCCTCCAACTGTCCCCGCCAGGTGAGCTGTCTGACCCTCCTACTGTCCCCGGTAGGTGAGCTGTCTGACCCTCCCACTGTCCCCGGTAGGTGAGCTGCCTGACCCTCCAACTGTCCCCGCCAGGTGAGCTGTCTGACCCTCCTACTGTCCCCGGTAGGTGAGCTGTCTAACCCTCCTACTGTCCCCGCCAGGTGAGCTGCCTAACCCTCCTACTGTCCCCGGTAGGTGAGCTGTCTGACCCTCCTACTGTCCCCGCCAGGTGAGCTGTCTGACCCCCCCACTGTCCCCGGTAGGTGAGCTGCCTGACCCACTGTCCCCGCCAGGTGAGCTGTCTGACCCTCCTACTGTCCCCGCCAGGTGAGCTGTCTGACCCTCCTACTGTCCCCGCCAGGTGAGCTGCCTGACCCTCCAACTGTCCCCGCCAGGTGAGCTGTCTGACCCTCCTACTGTCCCCGGTAGGTGAGCTGTCTGACCCTCCCACTGTCCCCGGTAGGTGAGCTGCCTGACCCTCCAACTGTCCCCGCCAGGTGAGCTGTCTGACCCTCCTACTGTCCCCGGTAGGTGAGCTGTCTAACCCTCCCACTGTCCCCGGTAGGTGAGCTGCCTGACCCTCCAACTGTCCCCGCCAGGTGAGCTGTCTGACCCTCCTACTGTCCCCGGTAGGTGAGCTGTCTGACCCTCCCACTGTCCCCGGTAGATGAGCTGCCTGACCCTCCTACTGTCCCCGGTAGGTGAGCTGTCTGACCCCCCACTGACCACTGTCCCCGGTAGGTGAGCTGCCTGACCCTCCCACTGTCCCCGCCAGGTGAGCTGCCTGACCCTCCCACTGTCCCCGCCAGGTGAGCTGTCTGACCCTCCTACTGTCCCCGCCAGGTGAGCTGCCTGACCCTCCTACTGTCCCCGGTAGGTGAGCTGTCTGACCCTCCCACTGTCCCCGCCAGGTGAGCTGTCTGACCCTCCCACTGTCCCCGGTAGGTGAGCTGTCTGACCCTCCCACTGTCCCCGGTAGGTGAGCTGTCTGACCCCCCTACTGTCCCCGGTAGGTGAGCTGCCTGACCCTCCTACTGTCCCCGGTAGGTGAGCTGCCTGACCCTCCACTGTCCCCGCCAGGTGAGCTGCCTGACCCTCCCGCTGTCCCCGGTAGGTGAGCTGTCTGACCCTCCTACTGTCCCCGGTAGGTGAGCTGTCTGACCCCCCCCCCCCACTGTCCCCGGTAGGTGAGCTGTCTGACCCTCCCACTGTCCCCGGTAGGGGAGCTGTCTGACCCCCCACTGTCCCCGGTAGGTGAGCTGTCTGACCCTCCCACTGTCCCCGGTAGGTGAGCTGTCTGACCCTCCCGCTGTCCCCGCCAGGTGAGCTGTCTGACCCTCCCGCTGTCCCCGGTAGGTGAGCTGCCTGACCCTCCTACTGTCCCCGCCAGGTGGGCTGCCTAACCCTCCTACTGTCCCCGGTAGGTGAGCTGTCTGACCCTCCTACTGTCCCCGCCAGGTGAGCTGTCTGACCCTCCTACTGTCCCCGGTAGGTGAGCTGTCTGACCCTCCCACTGTCCCCGCCAGGTGAGCTGCCTGACCCTCCCACTGTCCCCGCCAGGTGAGCTGTCTGACCCTCCTACTGTCCCCGCCAGGTGAGCTGCCTGACCCTCCTACTGTCCCCGGTAGGTGAGCTGTCTGACCCTCCCACTGTCCCCGCCAGGTGAGCTGTCTGACCCTCCCACTGTCCCCGGTAGGTGAGCTGTCTGACCCTCCCACTGTCCCCGGTAGGTGAGCTGTCTGACCCCCCACTCCCCGGTAGGTGAGCTGTCTGACCCCCCCCCCCCACTGTCCCCGGTAGGTGAGCTGTCTGACCCCCCCCCCCCACTGTCCCCGGTAGGTGAGCTGTCTGACCCCCCACTGTCCCCGGTAGGGGAGCTGTCTGACCCCCCACTGTCCCCGGTAGGTGAGCTGTCTGACCCCCCACTGTCCCCGGTAGGTGAGCTGTCTGACCCTCCCGCTGTCCCCGCCAGATGAGCTGTCTGACCCTCCCGCTGTCCCCGGTAGGTGAGCTGCCTGACCCTCCCACTGTCCCCGCCAGGTGAGCTGTCTGACCCTCCCACTGTCCCCGCCAGGTGAGCTGTCTGACCCTCCCACTGTCCCCGGTAGGTGAGCTGCCTGACCCTCCCACTGTCCCCGGTAGGTGAGCTGTCTGACCCCCCACTGTCCCCGGTAGGTGAGCTGTCTGACCCTCCCACTGTCCCCGGTAGGTGAGCTGCCTGACCTACTGTCCCTGGTAGGTGAGCTGCCTGACCCTCCACTGTCCCCGGTAGGTGAGCTGTCTGACCCTCCTACTGTCCCCGCCAGGTGAGCTGTCTGACCCTCCTACTGTCCCCGGCAGGTGAGCTGTCTGACCCTCCCACTGTCCCCGCCAGGTGAGCTGCCTGACCCTCCCACTGTCCCCGCCAGGTGAGCTGTCTGACCCTCCTACTGTCCCCGCCAGGTGAGCTGCCTGACCCTCCTACTGTCCCCGGTAGGTGAGCTGTCGCCTGTCTGACCCTCCCACTGTCCCCGCCAGGTGAGCTGTCTGACCCTCCCACTGTCCCCGGTAGGTGAGCTGTCTGACCCTCCCACTGTCCCCGGTAGGTGAGCTGTCTGACCCCCCACTCCCCGGTAGGTGAGCTGTCTGACCCCCCCCCCCCACTGTCCCCGGTAGGTGAGCTGTCTGACCCCCCCCCACTGTCCCCGGTAGGTGAGCTGTCTGACCCCCCACTGTCCCCGGTAGGGGAGCTGTCTGACCCCCCACTGTCCCCGGTAGGTGAGCTGTCTGACCCCCCACTGTCCCCGGTAGGTGAGCTGTCTGACCCTCCCGCTGTCCCCGCCAGATGAGCTGTCTGACCCTCCCGCTGTCCCCGGTAGGTGAGCTGCCTGACCCTCCCACTGTCCCCGCCAGGTGAGCTGTCTGACCCTCCCACTGTCCCCGCCAGGTGAGCTGTCTGACCCTCCCACTGTCCCCGGTAGGTGAGCTGTCTGACCCTCCCGCTGTCCCCGGTAGGTGAGCTGCCTGACCCTCCCACTGTCCCCGCCAGGTGAGCTGTCTGACCCTCCCACTGTCCCCGGTAGGTGAGCTGCCTGACCCTCCCACTGTCCCCGCCAGGTGAGCTGTCGTCTGAGTCTGACCCTCCTACTGTCCCCGCCAGGTGAGCTGTCTGACCCTCCCACTGTCCCCAGTAGGTGAGCTGCCTGACCCTCCCACTGTCCCCGGTAGGTGAGCTGCCTGACCCTCCCGCTGTCCCCGGTAGGTGAGCTGTCTGACCCTCCCGCTGTCCCCGGTAGGTGAGCTGCCTGACCCTCCCACTGTCCCCGCCAGGTGAGCTGCCTGACCCACTATCCCCGGTAGGTGAGCTGCCTGACCCACTGTCCCCGCCAGGTGAGCTGTCGTCTGAGTCTGACCCTCCTACTGTCCCCGGTAGGTGAGCTGTCTGACCCTCCTACTGTCCCCGCCAGGTGAGCTGTCTGACCCTCCCACTGTCCCCGGTAGGTGAGCTGTCTGACCCTCCCACTGTCCCCGGTAGGTGAGCTGTCTGACCCTCCCACTGTCCCCGGTAGGTGAGCTGCCTATACTCGGAGGGTCTGGTGTCTGCTGCAGCGCTGAACTCGTCGGTGCGCTCCCTGGTCACCGCCTGCCAGCAGCTCTACGTTGTCGTCCGAGAGAAGCTCCTCAAGAAGGCGGGCAGACCCACCGCCAACGGGACTTCGTGACCCGCGCCGACGCGCCGGCATAGGCCGACCCCGGTCACGAAACGCTGCACGGTCATTTTGTATTGCAACATTCATCAGAAATATAGACATTTACCGCAGGTATGAAAACCTGCCATATACGAGAAAGCAAACCAAATAGGAGGCGCGATTGAACTGGAGAGGCCAGACGCACTGAGAAGATGCGTTTGCGTGTCCTACCTCAGACTCGGGCGGCAGCAATGGATTACGGTCGTGTAAGGGGAGATTGAAAGGTGTGACCACTCGACCCCGCAGTATCGAATGGCACACACCTAAATACACACAACATGGGAGGCGTCCCGACTGCGGGGACTCAGACGCTGTACGACAGCTGTGAGTGGGCCGTCACCCCTGAAATGGCCGCGGACCGCGTAGTCACTCAGCATTCGTTGACGACAAAGCTCAATCGCTCTTGCCTGGCACGGATGACAGGCTTACCGTTTTAATGACAACCATCTTTTTCAACCGCTTAATGCTTAAGCGGTAAGTGATCCGCCATCAGCTGGAGGACGGATTAAATAGTAATTATCAAAGGCTATTGGCACACATAATATATCAAAGCACCGAAGCATGCACATTGCATATTGTATACTGGAATGGCAGAAAGGCTCAATAACATCCAACACAATCACACCGAAGATTAACAGTCTGCGGATGGCAGCTGATGCTGACACCCGCGTTAATAAGGCCATATGGACCGCCCAGTCACATTTAGAACAGGCGCACATCGACACGACAAGTCTCAGTAAGAAACCCCGGGACGCGTTTACCAAACGCCAGCCTCTCCGCGTACCTCCGTCCTCGTCACCCCGCACACGGCGCTGCAGGTTCAGTAGTCCCCACCACGGGCCGCGCAGATACCGCGCCACGCCGCCACGTGCCCCACAGCCGCGCCGTGACCGCCCTCCGGCCTGGCAGTGGGTCGCAGCCGCGCCGTGACCGCCCTCTGTCCTGGCAGTGGGTCGTAGCCGCGCCGTGACCGCCCTCTGGCCTGGCAGTGGGTCAGGCGAGTGCCGGACGTTCCGGCGGAGGGCCGCGCGCGGCGGTCGGACCGCGTAGCTGGCCCGGCAGAGAGCGGGCTCACAGTTTGAGGCTGAGCACCATGGTGAGGAACTGCTCGTACTGGATGGTGATGACGCCGTCCATGTCGGTGTCGTGCTGACGGAAGGCCGACGTCAGCGTCTGCCGGGCAGCGCCGAACGGTCAGACGGACATACGGGACAGAGTGACAGACGGGGCAGACGGACAGATGGTCAGACGGGGCAGCACCGAACGGTCAGACGGACAGACGGGGCAGACGGACATACGGGGCAGAGTGACAGACGGACAGACGGGTCAGACGGATCAGACGGACAGACGGAAAGACTGGGCAGAATGACAGATGGACAGATTAAGGGGCAGAATGACAGACGGACAGATGGACAGACGGGGTCAGATCCTGAGGGTCAGACTGAAAAAGGACAGACGGGGTCAGAATGACAGACGGAGAGACGCCAGGGGTAGCCGGTCAGACTGACAGACTGGGCAGACGGACAGAAGGGGTCAGCGGGTCAGACGGGTCAGGCGGCTTCGGCGGGTCGCGTCCGTCAAAGTGAGAGTAACCGTCAAGGTCTGAGTAACCGAAGAGGTCGAGTCAGAGGGACCCAACGATAAAAGTTACCTAAAATCAAATTACTTGCAAAGAGAACATGCAAAGATGGCGTTGGGTGGTATCACATTCAGCTTAGATTGTCATATGTATGTACCGCTTGCTCTAAATCTACGTACTAGCAATAATAGGTATTAATTTACGGTTAAGCACCCACTCAAGTCACATCAACATGGCATTGAGCGGTGATCCGCTGGGCCCCAGGTTCCGTCGCGCACTGCGGCCGGCGGTTGGCCAGCGGTCCGTCCGGCGTCCGGCGACTCACGTGCAGCACCACGCAGCACTGGATGAAGTCGTCAAACAGGATGACGCCCTTGCCGCTGCGGTCGAAGCGGCGCATCAGTATGCCGATGAAGGGCTCGCTCAGCCGGTAACCGAACGTGGTGAGCGCGTTGCGCAGCTCGTTGCGGTCGATGTTTCCCGAGCCGTCGCGATCGAAGCTCCTGAAGCAGCCCTGCCAGTCGGTGACGTACTTCCAGAGCGCGGCGAACTCGTCAAAGTCGATCTGTCCCGACGAGTTGCGGTCGAACATGCCTGTCGACGTGAGCGGGGGCTGCGGTGAGGCTGGCGGGCACGCGGCAGCGTCTGGCGACAATACGCTTAGGGCGCGTCTAGTGAGCTGTGGGCTGCCTTGTTTGTCGTACTCGTGGCATCACGGATTTTGAGCCCCAGAAGGAGGTCAGCCATCATGAACCAACAAGACCGCGTCACAGGTGCCAATAAAGCATTCACAAGATGGGTGATGGGGTCAGTGCGCCTCTGGTTTCCGCGGCGCGACACAATAGCATCGGGACTGGGAACAACTATAGTTCCCACCTTCTTGCATACAAGCAACCAACACCAGACTAAATGGCAAAAAGGCACCAACATCCTGATTCCTAAATCCTGACCATCACGGACTAAAGCCAAACCATGTCAGATCAATGATGCCAACTACACGGTAGCAAAAAGCAGAACATATGCGCGGAACATCACACAAAGGCATGAAAACGCTGCTCATGGCGTACGTTCCGGCAGGCACGGCAGGCCGGCGGCACAGCTGCGGACTTTTACATTCGTGTGTTCCAGGCCCAGCCCATCTCTGGAACCACGCACACGGGGAGCGGCCAGCGGTCGGCGCGGCGAGATATTGGGGAGGCAGGCCTCATTTACCGATCATGATGCGCACGGTTTCCGGGTTGAAGGGGTTCCACGTGCCATTGGAGAGGGCGCGCTGCAGTTCGTGGGCAGATATGGTGCCGCTGCGGTCAGTATCGACACTGCAAGGGCGCGGCACGGCGTCAGAGGTGCTGGTGCCGGCCACGGGGAGACATGCGCGGGCGGGCGGGCGGAGGGGACGCGAGCGGTGGCCGTCTGCCCACCGACCGGGGCCGCACTGTCCTACCTATCATGAGTCGAACAGTCTCCGGGTTGAACGGCTGCCAGGTTCCATTGGACAGCGCTGAGGCTAGCTCGACGGATGAAATGTGCCCGCTTCTGTCTTTGTCAACACTGCAAAATCACAGCATGTATAATCACAGGCTTATGGCTTCCAAGCATGATTTTTACTGGAACACCTAGCATCAAAAGTCAGATGTCAAAACAAATTGAAGGTGTTCCAAGAAAATAGAAGCATGTGCTGATATAAAAACACTGCTTGTATTGCCTTTTTCTGGGAAATAATGGTTATCAAATATAATGAGCAGAATAATGGAAGAAAAACTCACAAACTGCTTGATATTGAAAAAAACAGTCAACAGTTAGAAACATTTCAAGTTAGTAAATGATTCCTTTAGCTGACAGCAAACATTTAGTTGACTTCACCATAAATAAAACAATCTGACTACAACATTCATGCTTTGTAATTGTACCAGTCAGAACTACAAACCCAATGACAAGCTACCAGGGTTGGCTTCAGCAAAGCATAGCAATCTTCGCAGTTCACAATCTGTAATGCTTTAACTTAAAAATGAACAATGGGATGGGCCTGATCACTTCAGTCACTTAGTGTGGGTGCAAAATCAATGATGGATAATGGATTGGAAATAGCTAGGTCACCAGAAAATGACCTGCATAAGATGTAGGCCAGCACAATAAATATTTGGTGAAAAAAAGCTTCAAGTATTGTGGTCCTTTGGTGTTCTTGGTCAGGTGTACTTTGTATTAAGAGTACAAATAGAAAGAGCAAAAAGAAAAGAAAAAGAAGGAATACACATTTCACTTCTAGAACTACACTTGATAACTTTCTCAAATATGTATATGTACAATCACTGTCCTTGAAACAACGCCATAACAGCAGCTACTAGATAAAGCAATACCTTTGAAATACCCTTAGCAGGTATTGGCGGTCAGGTACACCTTGTGGTTGAGCCATTATCTGAAAGAAGAAAAATAGCAATATGTAATATTACACATCTTATCATCCAAAACATCACACTTGGTTAACCACAGCAGATAGATAGGTTTCAGTTTTCACCAAGGAAAATATATGGGTACCTGTCCCTCTGTGCTGCAAATGTTAGCCTCAGACACACAGCAGCATGATAACTGAGCCCTAATTAAATTCATATAGGTAGTGGTGACTGGTGAATGGTGATAACCAATACCAACAATTAGGCTGCTGCATATGACATTCGCTTATAAAACGATGAACTTTTTCATAATGCCATTTCCATTAAGTAGCATATTCAGTGTACCAACAATTGCTAATCTGAATTCTCACACTACCTTGCCTATACCCACGCGACCAGGCAGCAGCGAGATGCCACGGCCACGTGCAATGTGCATGAGACGGGAAGGAATCAAACCAAGGGCTGATGGCAGGCTGAGTCTGCAAGGAACTGACCCCTAGACCAGAGATGTAGCTGTTGCTGTTGTAATCAGATCATGCAATGGACCAGAATGCTTCTTAGTGTATTTTTCCAATAGTTTTGGTTAACCGAGCAGACCTCATGATTCAGCTCTGATATTACTGATGCAGAGAGGCTGTAATGCAGAGAGGCAGATTAGACAAATCTCTGGTTTTGCTCATGGTTAACTAAACTTGTTTTCCACTTTGAAAAATGTAAAATATCTAAATGCAAAACCAAACAAACCAAGGGCCTGTTCCAGCGCCTCCAGAAACCTCCAGAAAGCTCTAGACTCCTCCAGAGAGCGTTCCAGCGCCTCCAGAAAGCTCCAGAAAGCTCTCACCAAAGCTCCAGAAACCTCCAGTACCGTAAAACGGGGTGTTAAGGGATGTCCGTGAAGTTAGCGTCAGCAACAGCAACGAATACAGCGTCGGATTCAGAATCGCTTAAAAAACTCATATAAGGTCAATTGGGGGACGGGGAGCAAGAATATGACCTTTATTTGGCCCTAGCTCTTACCCCTTACCCCTTAATCGGCCCTTAAAGGAAGGGGCGCGTCAAAAGTGCCTCAAGGGTTCGTCTGATCGCAAAAATAAGGGTCGCAATCGATTCCCCGGGTCAATATCTAGCCGCAGCCTCGGGTTCCAGATGTGTGCAACTTACCCCTTACCCCTTAATCGGCCCTTAAAGGAAGGGGCGCGTCAAAAGTGCCTCAAGGGTTCGTCTGATCGCCAAAATAAGGGTCGCAATCGATTCCTCGGGTCAATATCTAGCCGCAGCCTCGGGTTCCAGATGTGTGCAACTTACCCCTTACCCCTTAATCGGCCCTTAAAGGAAGGGGCGCGTCAAAAGTGCCTCAAGGGTTCGTCTGATCGCCAAAATAAGGGTCGCAATCGATTCCCCGGGTCAATATCTAGCCGCAGCCTCGGGTTCCAGATGTGTGCAACTTACCCCTTACCCCTTAATCGGCCCTTAAAGGAAGGGGCGCGTCAAAAGTGCCTCAAGGGTTCGTCTGATCGCCAAAATAAGGGTCGCAATCGATTCCTCGGGTCAATATCTAGCCGCAGCCTCGGGTTCCAGATGTGTGCAACTTACCCCTTACCCCTTAATCGGCCCTTAAAGGAAGGGGCGCGTCAAAAGTGCCTCAAGGGTTCGTCTGATCGCCAAAATAAGGGTCGCAATCGATTCCCCGGGTCAATATCTAGCCGCAGCCTTGGGTTCCAGATGTGTGCAACTTACCCCTTACCCCTTAATCGGCCCTTAAAGGAAGGGGCGCGTCAAAAGTGCCTCAAGGGTTCGTCTGATCGCGAAAATAAGGGTCGCAATCGATTCCCCGGGTCAATATTTAGCCGCAGCCTCGGGTTCCGGATGTGTGCAACTTACCCCTTACCCCTTAATCGGCCCTTAAAGGAAGGGGCGCGTCAAAAGTGCCTCAAGGGTTCGTCTGATCGCCAAAATAAGAGTCGCAATCGATTCCTCGGGTCAATATCTAGCCGCAGCCTCGGGTTCAAGATGTGTGCAACTTACCCCTTACCCCTTAATCGGCCCTTAAAGGAAGGGGCGCGTCAAAAGTGCCTCAAGGGTTCGTCTGATCGCCAAAATAAGGGTCGCAATCGATTCCCCGGGTCAATATCTAGCCGCAGCCTCGGGTTCAAGATGTGTGCAACTTACCCCTTACCCCTTAATCGGCCCTTAAAGGAAGGGGCGCGTCAAAAGTGCCTCAAGGGTTCATCTGATCGCCAAAATAAGGGTCGCAATCGATTCCCCGGGTCAATATCTAGCCGCAGCCTCGGGTTCCAGATGTGTGCAACTTACCCCTTACCCCTTAATCGTCCCTTAAAGGGACCCTCCCACCTTCAAAAAAGTTAATGAATTGGCATGAAAGTGATGTCCCTTGGTTCAGAAAGAGCGAAAACGAATATCTACCAAATTTCACCGAAAAATATTCACTGGTTTTCAAGATATTAGGCTTTTACTTTTGTTTACTTTTTGGGATCTCCCTGTTACTAGCGACTTTATTTGGAAGCAATAATTTGGCAGCCTTAAAGTGCGGCAGACGTTGCGCGCAAAGCAGCGTATACCACCACGTGTTAACGATGGTTTTAGTCTAAGATTTAAAAATCGTTAGATCTCCGCTGACGTCACAAATTCTAAGGGGGCATACCAATGCATTAGCCCCTTAGAATCCGAAAACTGCAAGTTTGAAATTCCATATCTTCGAATTAAAGCATTTCTCGATGTTGTGAGTGCCCAAACCGGTATTTGCAGGCCATGGCCACCAATTTGGCTATCTCAACTCAAAACTAATGTTAAGGTGGGAGGGTCCCTTTAAAGGAAGGGGCGCGTCAAAAGTGCCTCAAGGGTTCGTCTGATCGCCAAAATAAGGGTCGCAATCGATTCCTCGGGTCAATATCTAGCCGCAGCCTCGGGTTCAAGATGTGTGCAACTTACCCCTTACCCCTTAATCGGCCCTTAAAGGAAGGGGCGCGTCAAAAGTGCCTCAAGGGTTCGTCTGATCGCCAAAATAAGGGTCGCAATCGATTCCTCGGGTCAATATCTAGCCGCAGCCTCGGGTTCAAGATGTTTGCAACTTACCCCTTACCCCTTAATCGGCCCTTAAAGGAAGGGGCGCGTCAAAAGTGCCTCAAGGGTTCGTCTGATCGCCAAAATAAGGGTCGCAATCGATTCCTCGGGTCAATATCTAGCCGCAGCCTCGGGTTCAAGATGTGTGCAACTTACCCCTTACCCCTTAATCGGCCCTTAAAGGAAGGGGCGCGTCAAAAGTGCCTCAAGGGTTCGTCTGATCGCCAAAATAAGGGTCGCAATCGATTCCTCGGGTCAATATCTAGCCGCAGCCTCGGGTTCAAGATGTGTGCAACTTACCCGTTACCCCTTAATCGGCCCTTAAAGGACGGGGCGCGTCAAAAGTGCCTCAAGGGTTCGTCTGATCGCCAAAATAAGGGTCGCAATCGATTCCCCGGGTCAAAATCTAGCCGCAGCCTCGGGTTCCAGATGTGTGCAACTTACCCCTTACCCCTTAATCGGCCCTTAAAGGAAGGGGCGCGTCAAAAGTGCCTCAAGGGTTCGTCTTACCGCCAAAATAAGGGTCGCAATCGATTCCTCGGGTCAATATCTAGCCGCAGCCTCGGGTTCCAGATGTGTGCAACTTACCCCTTACCCCTTAATCGGCCCTTAAAGGACGGGGGGCGTCAAAAGTGCCTCAAGGGTTCGTCTGATCGCCAAAATAAGGGTCGCAATCGATTCCCTGGGTCAATATCTAGCCGCAGCCTCGGGTTCCAGATGTGTGCAACTTACCCCTTACCCCTTAATCGGCCCTTAAAGGAAGGGGCGCGTCAAAAGTGCCTCAAGGGTTCGTCTGATCGCCAAAATAAGGGTCGCAATCGATTCCTTGGGTCAATATCTAGCCGCAGCCTCGGGTTCCAGATGTGTGCAACTTACCCCTTACCCCTTAATCGGCCCTTAAAGGACGGGGCGCGTCAAAAATGCCTCAAGGGTTCGTCTGATCGCCAAAATAAGGGTCGCAATCGATTCCTCGGGTCAATATCTAGCCGCAGCCTCGGGTTCCAGATGTGTGCAACTTACCCCTTACCCCTTAATCGGCCCTTAAAGGACGGGGCGCGTCAAAAGTGCCTCAAGGGTTCGTCTGATCGCCAAAATAAGGGTCGCAATCGATTCCCCGGGTCAATATCTAGTCGCAGCCTCGGGTTCCAGATGTGTGCAACTTACCCCTTACCCCTTAATCGGCCCTTAAAGGAAGGGGCGCGTCAAAAGTGCCTCAAGGGTTCGTCTGATCGCCAAAATAAGGGTCGCAATCGATTCCCCGGGTCAATATCTAGCCGCAGCCTTGGGTTCCAGATGTGTGCAACTTACCCCTTACCCCTTAATCGGCCCTTAAAGGAAGGGGCGCGTCAAAAGTGCCTCAAGGGTTTGTCTGATCGCCAAAATAAGGGTCGCAATCGATTCCCCGGGTCAATATCTAGCCGCAGCCTCGGGTTCCAGATGTGTGCAACTTACCCCTTACCCCTTAATCGGCCCTTAAAGGAAGGGGCGCGTCAAAAGTGCCTCAAGGGTTCGTCTGATCGCCAAAATAAGGGTCGCAATCGATTCCTCGGGTCAATATCTAGCCGCAGCCTCGGGTTCCAGATGTGTGCAACTTACCCCTTACCCCTTAATCGGCTCTCAAAGGAAGGGGCGCGTCAAAAGTGCCTCAAGGGTTCGTCTGATCGCCAAAATAAGGGTCGCAATCGATTCCCCGGGTCAATATCTAGCCGCAGCCTCGGGTTCCAGATGTGTGCAACTTACCCCTTACCCCTTAATCGGCCCTTAAAGGAAGGGGCGCGTCAAAAGAGCCTCAAGGGTTCGTCTGATCGCCAAAATAAGGGTCGCAATCGATTCCCCGGGTCAATATCTAACCGCAGCCTCGGGTTCCAGATGTGTGCAACTTACCCCTTACCCCTTAATCGGCCCTTAAAGGACGGGGCGCGTCAAAAGTGCCTCAAGGGTTCGTCTGATCGCCAAAATAAGGGTCGCAATCGATTCCCCGGGTCAATATCTAGCCGCAGCCTCGGGACCCAGATGTGTGCAACTTACCCCTTACCCCTTAATCGGCCCTTTAAGGAAGGGGCGCGTCAAAACGCCCTCAAGGGTTCGTCTGATCGCCAAAATAAGGGTCGCAATCGATTCCCCGGGTCAATATCTAGCCGCAGCCTCGGGTTCGAGATGTGTGCAACTTACCCCTTACCCCTTAATCGGCCCTTAAAGGAAGGGGCGCGTCAAAACGCCCTGAAGGGTTCGTCTGATCGCCAAAATAAGGGTCGCAATCGATTCCCGGGTCAATATCTAGCCGCAGCCTCGGGTTCCAGATGTGTGCAACTTACCCCTTACCCCTTAATCGGCCCTTAAAGAAAGGGGCGCGTCAAAACGCCCTCAAGGGTTCGTCTGATCGCCAAAATAAGGGTCGCAATCGATTCCCCGGGTCAATATCTAGCCGCAGCCTCGGGTTCCAGATGTGTGCAACTTACCCCTTACCCCTTAATCGGCCCTTAAAGGAAGGGGCGCGTCAAAACGCCCTCAAGGGTTCGTCTGATCGCCAAAATAAGGGTCGCAATCGATTCCCCGGGTCAAAATCTAGCCGCAGCCTGGGGTTCCAGATGTGTGCAACTTACCCCTTACCCCTTTATCGGCCCTTAAAGGAAGGGGCGCGTCAAAAGTGCCTCAAGGGTTCGTCTGATCG